AGAAAATGTGGCACATATACACCATGGAATATTATGCAGCAATCAGACATAATGAGTTCGTGTCGTTTGTAGGGACATGGATGAATCTGGAGAACATCATTCTCAGCAAACTGACACAAGACCAGAAAATGAAATACTGCATATTCTCACTCATAGGCCTGGGTGATGAAAAATGAGAATACATGGACACAGGGAGGGGAGTACTAAACACTGGGGTCTATTGGGGGGAAAAGGGGAGGGCCAGTGGAGCGGGGGGAGCAGGGGAGGGATAGCCTGGGGAGAAATGCCAAATGTAGGTGAAGGGGAGAAAGGAAGCAAAACACACTGCCATGTGTGTACCTACACAACTGTCTTGCGTGTTCTGCACATGTACCCCAAAACCTAAAATGCAATAAAAAATTAAAAAAGAAAACCAGAGAAGCAAGATCAAACAAATTCAAAAGCTAGCAGAAGACAAAAAGTAACTAAGATAAGAGCAGAACTGAAGGAGTTAGAGACACAAAAAAACCTTTAAAAAAATCAGCAAATCCAGGAGCTTATTTTTTGAAAAGATCAACAAAGTAGACCACTAGCCAGGCTAGTAAAAAAAAAAAAGAAGAATCAAATAGATGCAATACAGAATGATACAGGGGATATCACTACCAATTCCACAGAAATACAGACTATCCTCAGAGATTACTACAAACAACTCTGTGCACATAAACCAGTAAATCTACAAGAAATGGTTCAATTTCTGGACACTTATACCCTCCTTAGAGTAAACCAGGAGAAGTCGAGTCCTTGAATAGACCAATAACGAAGTCTGAAATTGAGGCAGCAATTAATAGCCACCCAACCAAAAAAAGTCCAGGCCCAGAGAGGTTCACAGCTGAATTCTGCCAGATATACAAATAGGAGCTGTTACCACTCCTTCTGAAACTATTACAAACAATACAGAAAGAGGGAATCTTCCATAACTCATTTTATGAAACCAACATCATCCTGATACCAAAACCTGGTAGAGACACAACTAAAAACAAAATTTCAGGACAATATCCATGATGAGCATCAATGCAAAAATCTTCAGTAAAATACTAACACACTGAATGCAACAGTACATCAAAAAGCTTATCCTTCACGATCAAGTTGGCTTCATTCTGAGGACGCAAGGCTGGTTGAACATACGCAAATCTATAAATGTAATCTATCACATAAACTGAACCAATGACAAAAACCACATGATTATCTCAATAGATGCAGACAAGGCCTGTGACAAAATTTAACAGACCTTTATGTTAAAAACTCTCAATAAACTAGGTATCAATGGAATGTATCTCAAAATAATAAAAGCTATTTACAACAAACTCACACCCAACATTATACTGAATAGGCAAAACCTGGAAGCATTCCCTTTGAAAACTGGCACTAGACAAGTGTACCCTCTCTCACCATTCCTATTCAACATAGTATTGGAAGTTCTAGCCAGAGAAATTAGGCAAGAAAAAGAAATAAAGCGTATTCAATTAGAAAAAGAGGAAGTCAAATTGTCTCTATTTGCAGAAGACATGATTGTATATTTAGAATACCCCATCATCTCAGCCCCAAATCTCCTTAAGATGATAAGCAACTTCATCAAAGTCTCAGGATACAAAATCAATGTGCAAATATGACAAGCATTCCTATACGCCAATAACAGACAAACAGAGAGCCACATCATGACTGATCGCCCATTCATAATTGCTACAAAGAGAATAAAATACCTAGGAATACAACTAACAAGGAATGTGAAGGACCTCTTCAAAGAGAACTACAAACCACTGCTCAAGGAAATAAGAGAGGACACAAACAGATGGAAAAACATACCATGCTCATGGTTAGGAAGAATCAATATTGTGAAAATGGCCATACTGCCCAAAGTAATTTATAGATTCAATGCTATCCCCATCAAGCTACCATTGACTTTCTTTGTAGAGCTGGAAGCTACCTAACCTCAAACTATACTACAAGGCTACAGTAATCAAAACAGCATGGTACTGGTACCAAAACAGGCATATAGACCAATGGAACAGAACAGAGCCCTCGGAGGTAACACCACACATCTACAACCATCTGATCTTTGATAACCTGAAAAAAAAAAAGCAATGGGGAAAAGATTCCCTGTTTAATGAATAGTGTTGGGGAAACTGGCTAGCCATGTGCAGAAAGCTGAAACTGGACACCTTCTTTACACCTTATAAAAAAATTAACCCCAGATGGATTAAAAGTGTAAACCTAAGTCCTAACACCATAAAAACCCTAGAAAAAAAACCTAGGTAATACCATTTGGGACATAGGCATATGCAAGGACTTCATAACTGAAACACTAAAAGCAATGGCAACAAAAGCCTAAACAGACAAATGGGATCTAATTAGACTTAAGAGCTTCTGCACAGCAAAAGAAACTATCATTAGAGTGAACTGGCAACCAACACAATGGGAAGAAATTTTTGCAATCTATCCAACTGACAAAGGGCTAATATCCAGAATCTACAAAGAACTGAAATAAAACTAAACAAAAACAAACCCATCAGAAAGTAGGTGAAGAATATAACAGACACTTTTCAAAAGAAGACATTTATGGGGCCAAGAAACATGAAAAAAAGCTCACCATCACTGGTCATTAGAGAAATGCAAATCAAAACCACATTGAGACACCATCTCATGCCAGTTCTAATGGCAATCATGAAAAAATCTGGAGACAACAAATGCTGGAGAGGATGTGGAGAAATAGGAACATTTTTACACCGTCGGTGGGAGTGTAAATTAGTTCAACCATTGTGGAAGCCAGTGTGGCGATTTTTCAAGGACCTAGAAATAGAAATTCCATTTGATCCAGCAATCCCATTACTGGGTATATATCTGAAGGATTTTAAATCATTCTATTTTAAAGACATGTGCACACGTATGTTCACTGTGGCACTGCTTACCTTAGCAAAGACTTGGAACCAACCCAAACACCCATCAATAATAGACTGGATAAAGAAAATGTGGTACATATACACCATATTCCATATATTCCATATATGGAATACTATGCAGCCACAAAAAGGGATGAGTTCACATCCTTTGCAGGGACATGGATGAATCTGGAAACCGTCATTCTCAGTACACTGACAAAACAGAAAACAAAACACTGCATGTTCTCACTCATAAGTGAATGTTGAACAATGAGAACACTTGCACACAGGGAGGGAGACATCACACACTGGGATCTGTTGGGGTGTGGGGGGACAGGGGAGGGAGAGGAGGGAGTGGAGAGATTGGGGAGGGATAACAATAGGAAAAATACCTAATGTAGGTGACAGGGGGATGGAGGCAGCAAACCATCACGGCATGTGTATATCTATGTAACAATCCTTCCAGATCTGCACATATACCCCAGGACTTAAAGTATAATAAAAAAGGAAAAAAAGTCTCAGACCCCATTAAGATAACAAATATGTGAAAACATTAAAAGTATCTCGATTAATTAGGTTATATTGATATTTGTAAACAACATGTATATTTTGTCAAAAACTTATATTCTAAACCTTTTGATCCTTAGATGTCAATGATATTATTTCATAACCAGTATATTACTAGTTACACAAAGATATTTTAAAATCCCATTATTTTCCCATAAATCCTTTATATATGAGAGATTTGCAACTATAGTGGAATCTTTAGAAACAGATTCAATATAAAAAATAATGACCATACTAATATTTAAATTCCATATCATAAAAAAGATATGCACTATCATATCGAAGTATTATATTTGATATAAGCTATTGTTATTTCTCTCTTAACTTTAATATTAATTAGCAGACTATAAAATTATCTCATAGTTGTATTCATCAAAAAGCCTATTTTCCTAATATTTATCCCTATTTAGTATTCATTCAATAAATATTTACAAAGTGTCTGTTACGTGCCAGTGGTATAAGTGTTGCACAGCAGCGAACCAGTCATGTTCTACCAGAAAAATACTTAAATGCTACTGCTTTCTTGGAACACAAATTTATACTACCACCTTTTTGAAGTGTTAGCACAGACAGATAGCTGGACATGAGCAGGAGAGAGAGCCCTGAGAAAAGTAAGACTGGAAAATATCACATCCCAGAGACCACCCAAAAGCTGCATGCTAGATATGAACAGAGAGAAAGGGAAATGCTTATGCAGAAAGAAACATCCTGAAATGCCCCTTAGGAAACCCATAATTGCTGATTCTGCAGTTAACCTGTCAGAATGTAACTAGCTACATACTGATAAAGAGGGAAAGAGTGCAAAGGGGAAATTTCTAAGAGATATGCAGGCATAATAAGTACATATTCAACTGCTATAAGACCTTCCCGGGGTGGCAGTAATGAGCAACACTGCCATTAAGTAGGCTTCATAGCCAACACCAGGGCATCAACTGTAGCAGAATCCCACAAAACTGTGGCAGGAACTAGGCAGGGACATGGTAGAGACTTAAGGCAGAGGTGGGAAGCTAGCCAAAGACAAAGGCAGAGACTTGAGACAGGCAGGAACTTAAAGAGTCTAACACAAGAAAAACTGCAATGTTAAACTCACAGGGCTGCTGTGTCATTTTCTTACAAGCAGCTCGCTCTGCCTCCTCTTTTAGAGCATACTATCTACCTAACCCTTGCTGCTGCTACTGCTGCTTTTCCAGCCTGCTCCTCTCTTGGCATGTAGTTACTTCTATAAATTCTCTGTTCTTTTTGCTGAAGTTGCCTCTTGGGCGAGTTCCTTCTCCTAAGAGCAACAAGAACCAGAGACTCCACTCTTCCTAGTAACAAAAGTGTCATGGTTTTATAAATATACATATTCTGGCAATATTTTGAAAAATTTAATTTATGCTTCTGATCTCTAATGAAAAATTTATGAGTGAATGAATATTTTTAAGACAAAATATTTGCCTGGCATGGAGTTTCTTTTTTGGTATAGCAATAAAAACACATCAAAAAAAGTACAAATTACTTTAAACTTTTAAGATTTACCTGTTATAGGAATGTTCTGTGAGACTGATAACTGCACATCTCCAGTTCCTGGTGGCATGTCAACAACTAAGTAGTCCAGCTGACCCCAATCTACCTAAAACCCAAGATGACATAAATTAGATCATTGTATAACATTGTATAAAAATTAAATGTTGAATAGTGATATAAACAAAATTAATGTGTTAATAACAAATCTCAAATCATAGCTATTACTTGAGCCATTTCTAGGTAAAGGCACTGTGCTGAGTCCTAAGGATACATGGATGAATAAATGAAAGTCACTCCCTCTAGCAGGCCCTCTTTGAACCATAAGTTTAAATTTCCAGATGACTCATCTCCATGCACACAAGCTAATGTTGAACTCATTTCACAATAGGCTTCTCATTAGGACCAATCATTTATTTTTACTGGGTGTAGCCCACATTTTGCCTAAAGAAGGTATTAACTTTTGGTTCTTTGTTTTTTGTTTTATTTTTCATGTTGCATTTACCATGCTAATATAATTTTTAGTTGATTATTTTCCTTCACAAAAATATACTAATAATGAAAACTAAAACTTAATAATAAAAAAAATTTAATATGAGTCCCAATATTATTAACATTTTGATTCTTTCAAGGCATTTTTTAAGTATCTATACCCAGAATATTCACCTACATAACAAAGTCCTTAATGCTCAGCCCTAATTTAGATAGGTTTCCAGGGTTCTTTACTCCTCAGATACTTCTTCCCTCTGAGGCTCTAGTCTCCATCAATGGCCCAAGGATCCTCTCAATTGTAAAGCAGAAACTTGGAATCATACTAACTCTTCCTTTTCCTTCACTATCCCCAATCAGTTATTCTGCCTTCTAAAAATGTCTCAAACACATCCATTTCTCTTTCTCCACTGCCAAGAAGCCAAATGAGACCACCACCATCTATTATTAAAGCCTCCCAACCAACCTCTCTGGCTCCAGCACTGCCCATCTAGTCTGTTCCTAACAACACTGAAAAATGGAAGCTTAATAGTGCTACTTTTTTTGTTTAAAACTCTTCTCTTGCCTTTAGGACAATATCTAAGCTTAAGCTCAAGCTCCAGAACACTCTGTTATTCTTCACTTGCTAATTCCTCCTCATTCTTCAGATCTGAGCTTAGAATTCACTTTTGTGGGGAAATTTTCACTAACTTCCATTAGATTCAATAAAGTGTTTCTCCTACATACCTTCTCTAATCACCTATTCATTCATTTGCCCAAGAAATGTTTACTGAATACCTACTATGTATTGGGCATTGAGTTAGATACTGACAATTAAATGGTATCATGATTTCTGCCCTCACAGAACATACAATATAGAGACAAAAATATTGGGCAGATAACTATACTTATAAATGCATAATCACCAGCTTTATAATACAAGAAGCATTGTTAAGACAGTAAAATGTGCACAGGAAAGAGCTTGCTGACTTAGAAAAACTGAAAGATCAATATGGTTAGAGAGCAGTGAGTGAAGAGAAGGGTATCCTTCATTTACTGTTGTTTCATGATCTGTCTTCCTATAAAACTGTAAACTGAGTTAGATCACTTTAGCCCAGAATGGACAAAGGAGATGTTTAAGACTTTTTTTTTTTCAATGAATGAATGACTAAATGAACACATGCAAAGGCTTGATACTTTTTTAAACCTAAGTGGAAACTGTATATAATTTCATATTGTGCTCTTTAAAACTTAATAACATATAACATGTCCTTTCCATATAATCATACTTTTACTTACTTATTTATTCATTCATTCATTCGTTTTTGTGACAGGATCTGGCTCTGCTGCCCAGGCTGGAATGCAGTGGCATGCTCACAGCTCATTACATCCTCAACCTCCTAGGCTGAAGTGATACTCCCACCTCAGCCTCCCTAATTGCTGGGACTATAGATCTGTGCCACCATGCCTGGCCAATTTTTGCACTTTTTGTGGAGACAGGGTTTTGCCATGTTGCTAAGCTGGTCTCAAACTCCTAGGCTCAAGCAATCCTCCCACTTTGGCCCCTGAAAGTGCTGGGATTACAGGCATGAGCCATTGTGCCTGGCCTATATTCATACTTTTAAAATAAAAAGTATAGATGATATTGGGTCAAACAGATTCATTCATATATCAACACATCTATTCTACACACATTATCTAAGAATTGATTGGATTCCAGGCATTGTTCCAGGTGATGGGAATAGAGCAATAAACATAATAAAATCCCAGCCATTATGGAACTGACAATTTAGTGAAGGAGACAATGGAAAGACAGCTGGACAAACAAATCAGAGTGTAGTAAGTGCTGTGAAGAAAACTCCAGGTATATCTTACTGTAGCAGTCCAAAACCTTTTTGGCAACAGGGACCATTTTGTGGAAGACAAATTTTCCACAGATGTGGGCAGGGGATGGTTTCAGGATGATTCAAGCACTTTACATTTATCATTAGATTCTTTCAAGGAGTGTGCAACCTAGATCCTTCACATGCACAGTTCACAATAGAGTTCGTGCTCACATGAGAATCTAATGTCACCACTGATCTGACAGGAAGCAGAGCTCAGCTTTACTCACTACCCATTGCTCACCTCTCGCTGTGAAGTCAGTTCAAAACAGACCATAGACTGGTGCTGGTCCCTGGTCTAAGTGTTAGGAACCCTTGCCTTACTATACAAAATTATTTGGTCCCTGATTTAGATATCTAGATCAAATAAGAATATACATCTTAAAAAATCTCTTCAATTACTGAATTTCAGATAGCAAGTATTAAGAGTTCAGACAGCAAAGGATTTATAAAACAATTTATTTTAATCTCTTTGGTCCCCAACGTCAGATGATGTAGAGCAGGGAGAAAGAATTGAATGGTGAAAGAAGCTTCTTTAGATAGGATGGTCAGACTCCTGAATAAAATGAGAAAACAACTGAAGCAAATACCTGAAGGAAAGCATTCCAGCCAGAAACCATAATAAATGCAAAGGCTATAAAATGGGAATATATTTGCCATATTCAAGGAATAGAAAAAAATAGCAGTATAGCCTTTATAAAATAGCACCCCTCATAGCCATCAAACTCTCTCCTTCCATGACATCATTTTTTTCTTCAAAACATTCCTTGGTATCTGACATTATATGTTGGTATGTCTTTTAGGAATCATCTGTTATTTCCCAAACACATGTTCTTGATATTGACATAATGACAGATTTTAAGAGACTGATGATGAGAGAGGACTCAAGATGGCACTGTGAGAACAACCCAAGATTGAAGCTCGCGGTCAATGCATGGAGGGGGTGAGTCAGGGCTGAATTTCCAGACGGATCTTTGTTGCCAACAGAACGGGGAAATTCCTAGGTATAGAGAAGATGCGGGACGCCAGGCAGAGGTTTTGGCTGGCGCATCCGGTGGCCGGTGTGGCAGTGGCCTGCGCTGTGGTGGCGCTGCACAGTGCTCCAAAGCGCGCTCGTCCGGGTGCCCTGCTGGGCCGGCAACCTGAGACTTGGGAGGGCTGAACCTGAGACTGAACGGGACTTGGACAGTGAGCCAGCCCAGGAGATTCCAGGGTGACAGCGTTTGGGGTAGCGCAGTGGGACAAACAAAACGGCGATTCCAAACGCTCCACGTGGAGGGGATCCCTGAGGCCGCAGCTTCGTGGGGGAGGGGCGTCCACCATTTCCGAGGCAAACCGCCCCTACTGAGGTACATGCCCATTGCTGACGCAGCCTGCCGTTGCCGAGGCAACCTGCTACAACAGAGAGACTCCGCACAGGGCGTAGCCCATGGCAGCAGGGCGGAGACTGCAGCAGAAGGGCAGAGCCTGCAGGAACAGGGTGAACCTCACACCAGCAGGGTGGAGCCTTGGCAGGCAAATAGTGACTAGACTGCCTCCTAACTGGGCAGGACAGCGCGGGGGACACTCACAAGGAAAGCCCCAACCACCCCAGACAGAGCATCTGAGAAAAAAAGAGTTTTTTTATGAGTTATGTTGCAGCAGAATTAAACATAGCAGCCTAACAGCCCTGAATGAACAACAGAGCTCACAGCTCAGCACTTGAGCTCCTACAAAGTACAGACTGTCTCCTCAAGCAGCTCCCTGATCCCTCTATATCCAAAAGACTGACATTTGGCAGGCATCATTCTGGGACAAAGATAGCAGAAAATGAAACTGGTAGCATCCCTTACTGTTCTGCAGCTGCTATAGGTGCACCCCAGACAAGCAGGGCCTGGAGTGGACCTCAGCAGTTGTACAGTGAAGGGGCTAGACTGGTAGAAGGAAAACTAAGTGACAGAAATACTTCAGCGTCAACAATCTGGGTGTCTACTCAGAGACCCAATCGAAAAGTCAGCAACTACACAGACGACAGGTGGATAAATCCACAAAGATGGAAAGAAACCAGTGCAAAAAGGAGGAAAACACCTGAAACCAGAACATCTCGCCTCCTAGAAAGGACCAAAACTCCTCACCAGCAAGGGAACAAAGCTGCATGGAGAATGACTGTGATGAAATGACAGAATTAGCCTTCAGAAGGTGGATAATGAGAGACTTTTGTGAGCTAAAAGAACATGTTTTAAATCAATGCAAAAAAACTAAGAACCTTGAAAAAAGATATGAAAAAAGATTCAAGAAAATAACAAGAATGGATAACTTAGGAATACGAAAGAATTAAAGGAGCTGAAAAACACAATATGAGAACTTCGCGAAGCATGCACAAGTTTCAATAGCCGAATTGACCAAGCAGAAGAAAGAATATCAGAAGTCAAAGATCAACTCAATGAAATAAAATGAGAAACCAAGATCAGAGAAAAAAGCGCAAAAAGGAATGAACAGAGTCTCCAAGAAATGTGGGACTATGTGAAGAGACCTAATCTACGTTTGATAGGCGTACTAGAATGTGACAAAGAGAATGAATCCCAGCTGCAAAATACTCTTCAGGACATTATCCAGGAAAATTTCCCCCACCTAGAAAGACAGGCCTACACTCAATTACAGGAAATACAGAGAACACCACAAAGATATTCCACAAGGAGAGCGACCCCAAGGCACATAATCATCAGATTCAACAAGGTTGAAATAAATGAGAAAATACTAAGGGCAGCCAGAGAGAAAG